TCTTTGGCGAGCCTTCTCCTATCACATTAATATCCACACAGACCAGTTTTTGAAAGCTAGAAAAGCCCACATAAATCTTCATGATCCAGGCTCAAACTTGAGTTATTATCATTAATACATAATTATTTGATTATAAGCATCCACCAAGGGAATAATCTCTGATTTCCTGTAGTTGTTTGAAATATAAGAAATATAAAGGATTAATATCATTAATACATTTATTTCAATAGAATACTGAATACTCTGAAGCCAAGAGGTCAGGCGTAGTTTCGATCTAGAACAGCCAGGCAGACTGATCTTTCATTTCCAATCCTTCCAACCACGTCTATTGTACATGCGTCCAGGTGAACCCATGCGAAGCATCAAGCTCCTAGAATCCACAAATCAATCATCTCAGCAAATACTTTTCAGTAGTTGGTTTACATATTATAAAGTTATAACTTCTTTTTACCTTCACACTTATCTTTGCAGTTGTTTCACAACAGTAACGCTCTTCACCTACAAAAGTTAGCAAGTCAATTGAATGCACAAGAAGATTAGTGGACACAGCTCAGTGTCAGTGACAGTTTGAACAATAGTGGCATACAAATTCTGTAAACATGAGCTACCTTGTAACCAGTTGGCTAGTTATATTAGGAGTAACGGCTCATATTTGAACTTGGAACTTCTCTTTTCTAAGAAATATGTGTAAAATGAAGCACTTGGATGACAAGTTAAATCCTTAGAACACTGATCCTGGGATTCTTGGCATGCTATGTCAATATGTCATCCAGGTTTTTTTACTTTGAGAGGACAAAAGCTTAAAACAATGATTTGCTCTGGAGCAGCATTTAACAAATTTGAAGAGCCTGCCATGGAGTGGTCTCTATAAATAAAATAAAAAGGAAAACAAGGAAGGGCTCAAAAGCAAATATGTTCATATGCAAATTCATAATAAATGCAGTTGCTCTCATATATCTAAGTTGATAATCTAATAAATTGGAGAGACAGGCAGATACTCCCATATCTATAAAGAGACGAACGCTAAAAAGGTGCATAAATAAATGCAGATATAACATCTCGTTTAATTTAAAAAGAAGCTGAATATAGAAGAATATAAAGAAATCTCACCACTTTGCTCCCACTTGTCGAAATTCACCAGATGAGACACTCCCTTGGTATGGTGGCGACTTTAGCCTAATAAATCGAAATGAAATTACGTAATTGAAATGGGTCTTCCTTCACCTTTCCAATATGGTTCAATTCGAACCCAAATCTTTTGACTGAGACTATTAAATCTCTACAGTATACTCTCAAACTTCGGAAATCAGAAGATAACTGGATCATTTTCATTACAAATTCACAATCGCTTGATAATACAGAGAATCGACATTAAAATTGAATACACATGAAAACGACAAAAACAAAAAGCAATCACAAATCGGCATCTCAGAACAGACAACCAACAAAAACAAACAAGAAAGAGTCTGGAATTGCACGGCAACAAAAAAAAAAAAAAAAACTTTTTCCGTTTCCTTTGCAGTTTCAACCAATCATAACAAAAGGTATTGAAAAATCGAAACCAAGAATCGGAGGACCAAACCGATTTGAGCAGCAGCGACCATCAGGAGGTGAAGTAGAAGAACGGGTGGAGAATAAGGTGGAGGAACATAGAGCAGGCGCAGGAGATGGAGAGGAACACCGCACCGTAGACAATCCTCAGTGCCATTTCTGAGATTAGAGCTTGAAGAAGGGTGGGATT